GAAGATGGGAGACGAGAACTCAACAAACCTTAGAAACATAATGAATACCAGTCGGCCAACAACACAGTTAGACACTAACCTGGTTGACCACGTATTTCAAAAGACTGCTACAATTTTTGTGTTCATCTTCTGGGCTGAACATACCAACATAAAACAGAGGACAATGACTCGTGAACAGACACGAGGTACATACAGTGAGGGAAAAAAGTATTTGATCCCCTGCTGATTTTGTACGTTTGCCCACTGACAAAGAAATGATCAGTCTATAATTTTAATGGTAGGTTTATTTGAACAGTGAGAGGCAGAATAACAACAACAAAATCCAGAAAAACACAAGTCAAAAATGTTATAAATTGATTTGCATTTTAATGAGGGAAATAAGTATTTGACCCCTCTGCAAAACATGACTTAGTACTTGGTGGCAAAACCCTTGTTGACAATCACAGAGGTCAGACGTTTCTTGTAGTTGGTCACCAGGTTGCACACATCTTGTCCCACTCCTCTTTGCAGATCTTCTCCTAGTCATGAAGGTTTCGAGGCTGACGTTTGGCAACTCGAACCTTCAGCTCCCTCCACAGATTTTCTATGGGATTAAGGTCTGGAGACTGGCTAGGCCACTCCAGGACCTTAATGTGCTTCTTCTTGCGCCACTCCTTTGTTGTCTTGGCCGTGTGTTTTGGGTCATTGTCATGCTGGAATACCCATCCACGACCCATTTTCAATGCCCTGGCTGAGGGAAGGAGGTTCTCACCCAAGATTTGATGGTATATGGCCCCGTCCATCGTCCATTTGATGCGGTGAAGTTGTCCGGTCCCCTTAGAAGAAAAACACCCCCAAAGAATAATGTTTCCACCTCCATGTTTGACGGTGGGGATGGTGTTCTTGGGGTCATAGGCAGCATTCCTCCTCCTATAAACACGGCGAGTTGAGTTGATGCCAAAGAGCTCCATTTTGGTCTCATCTGACCACAACACTTTCACCCAGTTGTCCTCTGAATCATTCAGATGTTCATTGGCAAACTTCAGACGGGCATATATATGTGCTTTCTTGAGCAGGGGGATCTGCAGGATTTCAGTCCTTCATGGCGTAGTGTGTTACCAACTGTTTTCTTGGTGACTATGGTCCCAGCTGCCTTGAGATCATTGACAAGATCCTCCCGTGTAGTTCTGCGCTGATTCCTCACCGTTCTCATGATCATTGCAACTCCACGAGGTGAGTTCTTGCATGGAGCCCCAGGCCGAGGGAGATTGACAGTTCTTTTGTGTTTCTTACATTTGCGAATAATTGCACCAACTGTTGTCACCTTCTCACCAAGCTGCTTGGTGATGGTCTTGTAGCCCATTCCAGCCTTGTGTAGGTCTACAATCTTGTCCCTGACATCCTTGGAGAGCTCTTTGGTCTTGGCCATGGTGGAGAGTTTGGAATCTGATTGATTGCTTCTGTGAACAGGTGTCTTTTATACAGGTAACAAGCTGAGATTAGGAGCACTCCGTTTAAGAGTGTGCTCCTAATCTCAGCTCATTACCTGTATTAAAGACACCTGGGAGCCAGAAATCTTTCTGATTGAGAGAGGGGTCAAATACTTATTTCCCTCATTAAAATGCAAATCAATTTATAACATTTTTGACATGTGTTTTTCTGGATTTTGTTGTTATTCTGTCTCTCACTGTTCAAATAAACCTACCATTCAAATTATAGAATGAAATTTTTTTGTCAGTGGGCAAACGTGCAAAATCAGAAGGGGATCAAATACTTTTTTCCCTCACTGTATACAGAGAAGACACACAGGGAAATATATTTTGGGCAGCCCAGAGGGACAACCAGAGCAACACCACACCAAGAGACATACACACATGTAGAGGCAATGATTGCTGTTGCTTTACGTTCCAAGGTGCTGGTTGGGTCTCATTTAATTTTAAGGTAGGTACTTTCATCGAGTAAATCTTTGATTTTATTATCGTAGTGCTCGCGGGGCATCACAACAGTCGATCGGCCCTTATCAGCAGCAATAATTTAGAGATCTTTATTTGCTCTCAATTCTCTTAAGGCTTTTGCTTCACTGAAGTTAATATTTGTTTTTGGCAATTTGCTGTTCTCAATAATCTTGGCAACCTCGTGCCTCGTCATCTCAGCTTAGTTATGGGGAGATGTCTAACTGCTGATTCCACTTCAGCAATGATCTCATCGACAGGGATTGTACGTGGGGTAACAGCAAAGTTAAGACCTATAGACAGGACTGAAACCATATCACTGGATAATTCAACGTTAGTCATGTTCTTTGGTTCTTTCGGTAAAGTTATGTAAGTAGAAAATAATAGATCACGACGTTTAGATCGTCATCAGGTGGGACAACCACAGCAAAAAAAAAAACTTCTGAAGTAGGTGAGAGATTTGCCGTGGCACGCGGTTATATAGGCCTCGGCAGTAGGGTGGGAGAGAGAAGGGGGGGGAAGGAGGCGGGGCAGAAAGTAGACCCTCCAGCAGCACCCGGGTCACTGGAGTAAAGTGGGCCACCGTGGTAGCACTGGAGAGGTCGGTTGCAGGGGGGGGGGGAAGAGAAGGTGGACCCTGCAGTAGTACCCGGGTCACTGGAGTAAAGTGGGCCACCGTGGCAGCACTGGAGAGATTGGCTGTAGGAGAGGAGAGAGAAGGGGGGGGGGGGGAAGCGGGGCAGAAAGTGGACCCTGCAGTAGCCCCGGGTCACTGGAGTAAAGTGGACCACCACGGCAGCACTGGAGAGATCGGCTGCAGGGGGGGAGAGAGGGGGAAGGAGGCAGGACAGAAACTGGACCCCGCGGCAACACCCGGGTCACTGGAGTAGGGATCGGAGAGAGATGCACAGAGAGAGATAGAAAGACACACAAATGTCGTGCCCACCCATGTACCACCGCCGTCACCTCTTCCCCAAGCTCCGGATCCTCCTCCGTTGGCATCCCCGCACTGCACGCTGACCAGACTCTCGAGGCCTCACCCGACATCAAATCACCCGACCATACCACCACACGAGGCCTCCAGTTCATTCCCTCATGCACCTCCATAATTGGCAGCACGACTCTTATCTCCTGCGCCAGCGCCAGCATTTTCTCCATCGCCAGAGAATCCAGCGCTGTCTCGTTCAGCCGTGGGTACACTACCTGGCCCAGCACCATCACCGCGCTGCGATAAGCGAGGGGCGTCTTGGCCTCCCCCCGCTTTTTTTGCAGGAACTTTCTCCGCGTATTCGATGGAGGATCGAACACAGCCGCCATTTCACCATATGACTTTTGTAGCATAGCCCTTCGCTCTTCCAACACAGCTCAGAACACCACGAGGGTGTCGTCGTCGGTAGGCAGGGCTCTCAGCGATTCCTCTTCTGACCATCTGATAGCTTCATATGCTGCCTCCAACCTTCAGGTGAAGGCGCCTCACTCGCCTCCCACTGCTATGAATTATTTTACAGGCGTCATCCTTCGTGGCCAGTCAGTTGGTCTTTCCCGTACTGCTGGAGCAGCAGCCGCCTCGGCCGCCATTTGGCCAACTCGCGAAATGGCGGCCATCCGTTGAGCGGTTTCCACTGCGGGGTCTCCCACCATGCTCTCCGCCACTCCATCTCTCGTCGCAGCTGCGGAAAGCTGCACGGTGAGCTGCGAGACCCCTGCTAACAGCCGGTCCAACCGTCCTGTTACCTAGACCCATTCGTTTATTTGTTTTTGTCAGGCAGCCTCCTCTCTCCTTGTTACTGCCGCTGCTCCCTCCTCACCGGCAGGGTTGTTCACTGGGTTCCTGCCACCTGGGGCTTGCTGCAGCGGGGTCTTCTCCCTGTCCGAAGTCGTTGTCAGTGAGTTCTTGCGACCGTGCCGTGGCATGATGACACCCCACTTCTGACACTAGTTGTAATGACTTTACACACTTATGTTGACATGGCACTTTATTGAAGACGCGTTCACTTGACATTAGGTGGAGATCCCATTGCAACAACCCTGAGTCTCCCGCGCATCTCCCTTATATATCAACACGAGGCCACTCGCCCCTTCTCGATCATTCTCGCTGACTCTGGACGCTCCCTCTACCTTCCGTCACCTGACCATGCTCCCTTCTCGAACATTCCCGTAGCCACCAGTCCCTTCACACTCACAACTGATATCCATTCCTGTCATTACCTCCCGGGGCCACTAGTGCATTTGTAGAGGTGATACGCGCTGGAATTAGAGATCGTATGCCAGCGCATAATGATTGGCTGTGTAGGTGGTGACGTGCGCTGACGGTGGAGGATCAGGGGTCAGCGCGGGGTCGTGGGTTACGGGGTACTGATTGGCTGTGGACCGGTGACGTGCTGAGAGGGAGTGATCGGGTGGCAGCGCGGTGTGATTGGTGGAGGAGTGTTAACACGCGCTGGGGAAAACGGATCGTAGAGAGAGTGCGTCGTGATTGGTTCATTAAGGAGCGATGCTCACGCTGAAGTACGCATCAGCTCCGCCTCTCGTGAGCAGGGGCTATAAAAGGGGATGCACACAGGCGTGAGGGCAGTGTGTAACCAGCGAAGAATGAAGACGGGGATGAAGACCTAGGGCCCTGCGGTACCTAGTCCCGCTGTCCTAACGGGACCGGGACTCTGTGTAACCCAGAGGCGAGTGTAGTGTGTGTAGCCATAGGCATAAGGTCTACACGAGCCGAATGCAGTGTGTGTAGCCAGGGACATAGGGTCTACACGAGTCGAATGTATTGTGTAGCCAGGGACATAGGGTCTACACGAGTCGAATGGATTGTGTAGCCAGGGACATAGGGTCTACACGAGTCGAGTGTATTGTGTAGCCAGAGGCGTAGGGTCTACACGAGTGAAGGGTATCGTGTGTAGCCAGAGGCCTAGAGTTTACACGAGAGTAGTGGAGTGTGAAGTCGGAAGAAAGGAGACTACACGTTGTATTTTGACACGTAAAGATTTAATAAAAAGTGTGTTCCCGTCAAGAAGTTCCTGCCGTCAATTCCCATACTTCACATTCGTACTGTAGGCTGACCTCCCTGTCATTACCTCCCATGGCCACTAGTCCCCTCACACTGCATGCAGGATCTATTTTCATTACAATCATACAAAAAACTAATTTTATATGCTTTTATTGAAAGTATAATCACAGAATATATGTATGTATTATTTAAGCAATTACAGTCATAGCATATGACAAATATTGCTAAAACATTGAATTGATTAACTATGTAATAACACTTAATATTTGGTGTATCGCACCCATCATAAGTTTAATTTAACAATTGAGAAAACTCTGTTTTTGGTGCAAAGAGGGGAAATGTTGCCAATACATTGTTCTGTTTTATTTTATGTATTCACGATCGAGATTAATGTTTTGACCCTTTCATTTGAAACACTTATGGACAACAGTAAAATAAAACCTTCAACAAGCTGTTGAATATAAGATGGTCATCTCCCATAAGAAAAGGTTAAATATCATAAAATGGCTGATATCAAGCCATATTCTCTGGAAGGTTGGAAGTGCTTGCACAAAGGATAGTAACATCTCATCCTGTGTTCTTTGGAATCAGGTATTAGAATCATCTGAGCCATCAGAGAAAATAAGATACTTTGGTTTGTCTCTGGGTTAGAAGCCAAAGAGAATAATATCAAGACGGTGTGACATGTTTAACAGTATGTGATTCCTTCATGTGGATATTATTTAATTTGAGTAATTTGAACCTTAGTCCACAAGTACAGAAATCCTTTAGAGGAAATTATATGTATATACAGTTGATCATCAATGATCTGGCGCGTGATTATCCAGCTTGCAACATTTTCTGACGGTTCAGGGTCGATCCGGCAAAACTGCTCCAAAGGCTGCACCAGTCCGCCGGGGCTAGTGATGTTAATGTGAGAAATTAGCATGCAACTGTAAGTTAGGAAAGTGGCCTCTTCGACGAGGGCACGGAAGTGGACATGTTAATGTGAGAGATTAGCATGGTGTTAATGTGAAAAATTAGCATGTAACTGTAAGATAGGACTTTACCGAAAGAACCAAAGACTATGGATTCCTGCAGTCACGAAAGTTTCAAATCAATATGGTTATTTATGCCAATTTAATATAGTGAACACATTTAAAGCACAAGAAGCATAAATACAACACCTAAAAACATGCTATACAAGAACGTGCAAAAATACGCTATTTTAAATAATGTTGTGATTATCCGGCGTTTTTGAAAATTCGGCGCTCCCTTCTCCTGAAGCCGCTGTATAAAGGATGATATACTATATATGTGAAGTGAGGTTGAGAGACTACAGAGGTCAACCAGTGGATAAACCATAATGTGGGTGATGCGGATGTTATGGTAGAGGAGTATCCAGCTTCCCCAGCGAGGCCTTGACCTCCTCCACAGGCTGCAATGTATGCCACTGTGTGATGGGCCGGCGAGGGTTGGCGAGCATGTCTGACCAGTGGCGGTGGCCGGCGCCCGCTGCTCCACAGCCCACATACACCTTCCCAATCGCGTCATTCCGGCTCAGGCTGTCATAGTCCATCACTGAGAAAACCAGCTGGATTTTCTGTTGGCGCAAGTAAGCAGTAATGTGTACGCTGTTTTTATGTCATACAAGTTTTGTTTGTGATCTGCAATACAAGTGATGCATTTTCCCAAATAAATTAGAAAATAATTTCCATCAGTTTGGCGGGACCTCCTTATCCGTGAGTCCATCCATATATTTCCACCTAACCCACCATGTTAGAAATAACATGGCATTTTAATGGCCATCACATGTGTAGCATGCTAAGGGTGATGCAGTGTGCTAGAAATATGTCCCAGTAACTTGAGGTTGCAGCATCTCAGATGAAATTATTTTCCATTTTAACCTTATATCATTAAACCCATCCATGACTTTTTATTATTTAAAATTCTAGAATAACAGGAAGGGGTGATGCATAGAAGCAGGAAGCATCGTTTATCGGAAGCTCATGTCACGTAAAATGGTCTCATAAAGGGAGTCCTACTGTATATATAATGGACGTTGTATTAAAATGGGTCGGCAACCTGCGACTCCAGAGCCGCATGCCGTGGCTCTTTGGCTTCTTCCGTGTGGCTCATTGGCTGCCCTCTTGCGGGCAGCCGTTTAAAAAACTTAAATCTTAAACATAATTTAAAATAAAGATAATTGATTAAATATGGCAGGGACTGGGCCACTATTGAATGTCTTAATGACAACAAAAGTAAAGTCAAACTATTGTTAAAGAATAACTAAAGGGGGGTGGGGAGAACGATATAGATGCAGTTTATTCTATCACCTATTTTGTTTATTTATCAGAATTTGTTTGTCATCTGCTGTATTCCTGCAGTGTCTGTGTTTGTGTACAAGTAGCTCTGCGTGTGATGCGGCTCCGGAACTATTTTGGTCAAAGACAAAAAGAAATGGGCCTTTTAAATGTTGCGGAACCCTGTATTAGAATAACCTTGTGAATAATGTCGATATGATGCAATTAATATATATTCTACACCTTTTAGAAAACGAATAACGCTGATAACATCTGAAATGTTGAAAGGTTAGTGACGAGTTGCATTACCTCTATGTTCTCAAATGGAATATCAAATGAAAACGACTCATTGAAGTACGGATTTAGTGCCTTTTTCTTGATGGTTGTTTTCTTTTTCTTCAGTCTTTTTCCTCCCTCCATGACTTGGATTTTGACGTAAGGGTCTGTTCAGAACGAAAACGTACCAGATGTACCATTACACGAGTGAAGGATGATTAGCACTGTCCTGTGCATGTAGTAAAGTAAAATTAAACATTATGATCTGTATTGCTATTTTTAGCATGTGGTATAACAAACTGAATATACCGTTTTATTTGTGTTTGCTATTTCCTTGAAATGTTTTTCAGGTTTAGTTTGAATTTGGGTGATGTTGAACAGACAGCAGCTCTATGATTGGATGTAAGAAGGTTTTGCACGTTTTTGCAGTAATTTAAAGAACAGTGATCCCCCTGAAAATGAAATGGCACCTTCTCGAGGTGTCTTTAACATATGAAAGTGCCGTTTGTGTTTTAGTACAAGAAGCACTCTCATATAAAAAGGAAACAACACTGAACCCATATTCCTTGCACACTTCTCAAACCTCCCTTTCCTCATAAATAAATAAATAAATATGAGTTATTTTCTTCCATCTCTGCAAACTCCCCTTCCTCTAAGGTCTCCAGAACCCAGCGCAATGTGGTTTCTGCCATGGTCATTCGACTGAAACTGCTTTCCTATGTGTGGTAAATGACTTTCGGGTCTCCTCAGATCTTGAATGACTGCTTTTGACACCATAGACCATGCAATTCTCCTTGAACATCTCCAAAATATACACGTCTTGGGCACACTTCTCTTGTGGTTCTGGTATTACCTTTAAAATCACTCGTACGTTTCCAAACAAGGACTGCCTTCCTGTAAATAAACCCCCTGTGCTATGGCATCCCACAAAGCTTAAATCTCGGCTGTCTATTCTTCCTAAAATATCTGCTTAATCTCAGCAACATAATCTCTAGTTTTAATGTTGTTTAACTACATTGTCATTGACCCCATATACCCAGCCTCACTGTTTACTCTCACATCCTGCCTTGAAGAAGTCTCATCTTGGATTGGTTCTAGCTTATTCCAGCGAAATGTTGCTCACCATCAAAAAGTCCACACTCAGTAAGGACTACAATTTGAGCACGGAGCTGCTAAACTCTGACATTATACTATAAAAGATTGTGCAAAATATTGGCGTTGTTATTGATCCAAAGCTATCCCTCTCTCTTCACCCAAATCTCAACTCTCCGGAATTGTATTGAGACTTAGTCAACGTTCGCTCTCAGGCAGAGGTCGCTCCTTTTCCTTTCCTGCCTCCATATTCTGGAATGTCCTTCCTTTCGCCACCTGTGTTGTTGAAGAGACGACCTTCATTTTTTTCCTTTAGAAATAATTACGGCCACTTTTTATATGCCTTGTTGAGGTTTAGTTGCATATCCACATTGTATTCAAAGCAACTTGACAAAAGGTGTACTCCAAGACTCTCAAGCTGAATTTTTACAATTTCAACACTGATATTGAAACGCTAAAGCTGGATTTTACAACAATTTAAGGATAATAAACAGCCTCATTCAATTCTGAACATATAATACATTCCCAGATGTTTTTTTTTCTCCCTAATACTTTCTGAATAAACTAATTTAGTCAGATCGATGGCCTCGGTAAGATGCCAACTGATATGCCAACTTTGTTCTGCAATTTCATTACATTTATATATTTTCCCCACCATTGATAAACTGCCTTGTAATAAAAATATGAACTCATAGTATTGTAATAATGCAAACAATTGTGCACATTTTACAAAATATTAGTATACACACCTGAAGCTCCACTGACGTCCATGACCTTTAAGTTTTTGGCTTCTAGAATAACAACGGTTAACTTTCCGGTTGATGGTATATATCTCAAAGAAAAGCAAATATCTCCCAATCTGTCTTGCTGAAAAATATAAGAATAAGGAGAATGATCAAAACTTCTTCAAAATATACAGTTGCGTTCCTGAAGAACACCTCATTATGGAAAAATCGCGTTATAATAATATAGGATAAAGCACAGTCCGCGATAACACGTATGATGCATACGCAGGTTGAACAAAGACTGAGGCGCATGGGTAGCATCTAGAAGCATCCAGCAGCATCCCACTTTGTGTGATGCTACGCCAAAGCGGCAGTACAACTGCTTTTTCCTACTCACGCGACATAGTTCTGTTCACTTAATCATCTTATATTCAATTGACATCTGCGTTGTAAAAATGTGTTCCTGAATACATGAATTCTGTTATATCCAATTCACGTTATTAAAATATGCCTTATAGGAGAACAGACTGTTTTGCACAAATGTTCCTACATTGGATAGTTCTGGCAACAAAAACTATTCGTAAAATGACTCCACCCTGTTATTTTTCCAATTTAGACATCGTTTTGTTTGGCAAAATCGGTATAACCAATATTCATTGTGGATAACATTAAATCCTGATGCAAATGCAGGACACAGGGATTGCCCCACAGCTGTACTTAGAGATGTGGCACCTAATCTGGTGGGTGTGCATAGCCATTGTAATTATGCATATTGCCAAACCCCTCTGCAACTTGTTGAGGGGTTTGGAGAGCATGATACAAAAAATCATATTCTTGTCACATATATACAAGGATGCACCAGTTGAGCAAGAATACAATTTTAAGCCTTTGGGCATATGTGCAACAAATGTGAGATGAAAAAAGATGTTGGTCAATCAATGTAAGTATCTTGAGTGCTCGGCCAATTGCCAAAAATAATATGGCGGTGTGGCGTCGAGGATCTGTTGGCTATTGACCAGGAAAGCACTCTGAGTCTGGACTGCTGGTTGGATCATCCTATTCCGAGCAGAGCTAAGGCTCTGCTCCGGTTGTCACAGGAAACTGATCCACTGTGTCCACTCTGTACAATCAGGTGTGCAACCGCTTGGTTGCATATTCTTCTTGGTTCTTTCGGTAAAGTCACGTAGAATGGAAATAATAAAATAATAAAAATAAAACATAATAAAATAATTCTCACGACGTTTCGGCCACAACGCAAGCAGCCGTCCTCAGGTGAAGAACAGGTCTGTATTTTTTATTTTTATTATTTTATTATTTCCATTCTACGTGACTTTACCGAAAGAACCAATAAGATGAATCCCTGCAGTCACGAAAGCTTTAAATCGAAAAATGGTTGCATATTGTTAATGATTGTCTCTGACCAGACTGAATGGTGAACTGAGAGCACTGAACATTGTATATGATGATGCTGTGGCCTAGCTTGGATAAATACACATACAATAGAAGAAGGCACACAACTGGAAACATGTGTATGTACATTTGTATGTATACATGTATACATTTGTATTTACATTTCTATGTACACATTTGTGGAGCATGTGTGAAATATGTCCTCTACACATGTGTAGCCAATGAGGGATGAGTGTAAGGACGGTCGAGTTGATGGGGAGCTATGCGAGGCCAAGGATGACGTAACGTCATGGGCCACGTACGGGGACATGCGGAAGAGCTTTCCAGAAAGTGGGCGGGCCGAGGTAAGAGGGAGGAGTTACCGAGATAATTCTTAAGGGGGACCACGTGAGGGACATGTGGTCGTCGTGGGGAGCTAAGGTGAAGAACGGCTGGAAGAGGTATCTCTCCTCATTGCGGGGCGGTGTTGGCTGATACCCCACCCCGGGCAGACGGGCAAGAGAGCCTAAGGGTGACCGAAGAGATCCCAACATAATAGTATTCCCGAGGTATCCTAGGGGTAGCCGGAGTAGCTCCGACGTGCAAAGTTATCCCAGGTCCAAGGGAAGGACAGAGAATAGAGGGCACCTACACTGGTGTGAGTGTAAGATGCAGTGTGAAAGGGCGTGTTAATAAACGGCCACCAGCCCTTATAAAATTCCTCGGCTCCGCGTGGTTGGACTGCACTACACATGTAATACATTTCAGGCATTGCTGCTTTGGGAAAGACCACCTCCTACCCTTAGTTTCTGGAGCCTTATGACTCACAGTGGTGAAGCCTGGGCCCTGCTCATGGAAAACCCTTGGCCAGCAAAACAAAGTTAGCACTGGTCATGGAAACACAATGAGACTAAAATATTGTACAAAGAGCATGGAGGTAAACATATTCCATGGACTGGGTGCAAAATCATTTGGATTTCCAAAGCCATCCACAATATCTTGGAGTAGACAAATGTGCTAAAGATTGAATACAATAATTACATTTACAGCAGTGTTCCTTCTTAAAATCCTATAGAGGTGGAAGGGATCTTTCTGAACCTGACTGCCACAAGCATTCTGCATGATGATTATGAAATAAATTAGGACTGTTGTGAGATTTCAAATAAATTAATACTGGTGTGAGATTGTTTTACTTACATCATCTTTCTCAGTTTTTTGTAGATCTCGCCATTCCTCTACTGAATGTGATAAATCCACTGAGCTCAAAGGTATTCTCAGTTCTCCAATTATATCATGTCTGGAAAATCTGTCAAAGTCATAAACCACCATTACCAACACCCGCTCCACAAGCTCTTCAAAAGGAACCTGCAAAACATACAACACATAACAAAGTGTTTAGTACAGGACTGGAGCATAGCCACTACAACCAAACGTCTCATGTACATATGTACAGTGAGAGAAAAAAGTATTTGATCCCCTGCTGATTTTGTACGTTTGCCCACTGACAAAGAAATTATCAGTCTATAATTATAATGGTATGTTTTTTTTTACAGTGAGAGACATAATAACAACAACAAAATCCAGAAAACGCATGTCAAAAATGTTATAATTTGATTTGCATTTTAATGAGGGAAATAAGTATTTGACCCCTCTGCAAAACATGACTTAGTACTTGGTGGCACAACCCTTGTTGGCAATCACAGAGGTCAGACGGTTCTTGTAGTTGGCCACCAAGTTTGCACACATCTTAGGAGGGATTTTGTCCCACTCCTCTTTGCAGATCTTCTCCAAGTCATTAAGGTTTCGAGGTTGACGATTGGCAACTCGAACCTTCAACTCCCTCCACAGATTTTCTATGGGATTAAGGTCCAGAGACTGGCTAGGCCACTCCAGGACCTTAATGTGCTTCTTCTTGAGCCACTCCTTTGTTGCCTTGACCATGTGTTTTGGGTCATTGTCATGCTGGAATACCCATCCACGACCCATTTTCAATGCCCTGGCTGAGGGAAGGAGGTTCTCACCCAAGATTTGACGGTACATGGCTCCGTCCATCGTCCCTTTGATGCGGTGAAGTTGTCCTGTCCCCTTAGCAGAAAAACACCCCCAAAGCATAATGTTTCCACCTCCATGTTTGATGGTGGGGATGGTGTTCTTGGGGTCATAGGCAGCATGCCTCCTCCCCCAAACACGGCGAGTTGAGTTGATGCCAAAAAGCTCCATTTTGGTCTCATCTGACCACAACACTTTCACCCAGTTGTCCTCTGAATCATTCAGATGTTCATTGGCAAACTTCAGACGGACATGTATATGTGCTTTCTTGAGCAGGGGGATCTTGCGGGTGCTCCAGGATTTCAGTCCTTCATGGCGTAGTGTGTTACCAATTGTTTTCTTGGTGACTATGGTCCCAGCTGCCTTAATATCATTGACAAGATCCTCCCGTGTAGTTCTGGGCTGATTCCTCACCGTTCTCATGATCATTGCAACTCCACGAGGTGAGATCTTGCATGGAGCCCCAGGCCGAGGGAGATTGACAGTTCTTTTGTGTTTCTTCCATTTGTGAATAATCGCACCAACTGCTGTCACCTTCTTACCAAGCTGCTTGGCGATGGTCTTGTAGCCCATTCCAGCCTTGTGTAGGTCTACAATCTTGTCTCTGACATCTTTGGAGAGCTCTTTGGTCTTGGCCATGGTGGAGAGTTTGGAATCTGATTGATTGATTGATTCTGTTAACAGATGTCTTTTATACAGGTAACAAGCTGAGATTAGGAGCACTCCGTTTAAGAGTGTGCTTCTAATCTCAGCTCGTTACCTGTATAAAACATACCTGGAAGCCAGAAATCTTTCTGATTAAGAGGGGGTCAAATACTTATTTCCCTCATTAAAATGCAAATCAATTTATAACATTTTTGACATGCGTTTTTCTGGATTTTTTTGTTGTTATTCTGTCTCTCACTGTTCAAATAAACCTACCATTAAAATATTTCTTTGTCAGTGGGCAAACGTTCAAAATCAGCAGGGGATCAAATACTTTTTTCCCTCACTGCATATGCCTTTAACGTTAAATTTAGGATACGCAGCAAATTACTACTTAGTGAAAATATAATGCCAAAACTTTCCCGGTTTCAAGACAGTTTACGGACTAGACTTAAATCGCGGAGTAGTAGCACTCTCGCCATTTGTTGCAGAGGTTTCCAGTTCGAATCCAGCAGCCGCCCTGGATCTTTACCATACATTTATTCGCAGGCTCTTGTGTTCCAGTGTCACTGTCTAAATTATTCAGTTTATAAACATAGCATAGCAATTTCGATTTAAAGCTTTCGTGACTTCCCTTCTAGGTGACTTTACCGAAAGAACCAAGAAGAACATAGCAAGTATCGCCTCCTACTGAAAACCTAGCAATCACGAGACTCAGGATTTTCTGGGTTGACAAACATAACAAGAATGATAATAAATAACACACTTTCCCAATGTGATACACTTAGCAGGAATTCAGATCATGCCTGCACAGGGTCACAATGTGAAAATATAATGAGATAATTACTGGTGGGGCAATGATCTGAAATGTTCCACAATAACAAAAATCATGAGCGTTGTTGTAGAGAATACAAGTAACAACATAAATAAGCAGACAGTGTATTCACATATCCATCTCTCCACATAAAATATAAAAGTATTGAAATAATTAATTTGGTAGATACTCTTTGGTTCTTTCGGTAAAGTCATGTAGGTGAAAAAAATATATATAAAAAATAAAATAACTAAATTAAATCACGACGTTTCGGAGGCAACACAAGCTTCCGTCATCAGGTGGGCCAACAGCAAAAAAACAGAATTACTGTAGTGGGCAGAGAGAGAGCTATTTGTGACAAGCGATTATATAAGGTAAGAGGGGGGGAGGAGCCAGGGAGAAGGGATGCGGGGGGGGGGGTCGGGGGCGGGGGTTACGCTAATTAATAACATCCTTCTAGGATGCAGGGGGGGCCCCAGCGTGTGGAGTTGGGGACGGGAGTTAGGCTGATTAATAACATCCTTCTAGGATGTAGGGGGAGGGCTGGCGTGTGGAGTCGGGGGCGGGGATTAAGCTGTTGCAATTAAGATTTTACCTGATTAATAACATCCTTCCAATGATTGATCAATTTGAATCCATCTTCTCGGTTGAAGTTATGTCTGTGTTTGTATATCTGGATGGCTTCATGAACAAATCTTTGATAGTAGCCTGACGGTCTGCAGAGTACCTTAGTCTCGGAAAAAACAATATCATGAGAGCCCACCGCGCTATAGCAGTGATCAGCAACTGCGGAAGATCCAGTTCTGCCATTTTTCAAATCCGCCTTCTGCTCGCGAATACGGTCCGATACATGTAGTTTAGTTTCCCCAATGGAACAATCGCCACAAATGCAACTAAGTTTGTAGACTCCAGGGTATTGCATGTCAGGAATGACAATCTTTACGGATGGGATTAGATCACGGATCTTGTGTACTATACTTAATCGGACCTGGATATTGTGTTTGTTTAAGATTTTGGAAATCTTTTTGGTAACGCCTGCTATGTATGGTAACGTGGTGGTTTTGATAAGAGTCTCAGGGGGTTGTCTCTCTATGGTTGGAGAAACAGCTTTGCGGATAATTTGGTCCGAATATCCATTCATCTTTAGGGCCTGGCGTGCGTGTTCCAATTCACTGGCTAGGTGGTGTCGGACAGATATGCAGTGGGCCCAATGTGTAATGTTTTGATGAGGGAATTCTTCTGTGCCGGATGATGGTGGGAGTCAGGTTTCAGATAGGAATCTGTGTGGGTGCCCCCCCCCTGCATCCTAGAAGGATGTTATTAATCAGCTTAACCCCCGCCCCCGACTCCACACGCCGCCCCCCCCTGCATCCATCCTCCCTAGCTCCTCCCCCCCTCTTACCCTATATAATCGCTTGTCACAAATAGCTCTCTCTGCCCACTATCGTAATTCTGGTTTTTTTTTGCTCTGGTTGTCCCACCTGATGACGGAAGCTTGTGTTGCCTCTGGAATGTGATTTAATTTAGTTATTTTTTTTCACCTACGTGACTTTACCGAAAGAACCAAAGAGTATGGATCCTTGCAGTCACGAACACTTCAAATCTAGAATCAATTGGTAGAGTAGAGTATAATACAATTTGGTTTGAACTGGCATTAAATGCAAATGCATGTCTAGATGATGTACAGCCAAACCACCACTCGGTGATCCATTTTAATAGCTGAGTATGTCATAAGAACATTAATTTCAGATGTTCATATCCTTGCTATAATTGAAAACTGATATATATATTTGTAAGCAGTTACAATCTTACCGTAAATGTAAATTTTTCCTGAAATATCGGGTTCAAAGTTTTCCTGTGCACACTTGTTTCAAATTTCTTTTTCTTGTGAGGGAGTAAGTAAACTCTAACGTATGGATCGGACATGCCTCCAATGTCCATCGCTGCGAGGTCTGTTGCCTGCAAGATTCCCACAGTAAACTGCAACCGAAAAAAACAAAAGTTTTTGTTAGGATAACACATACAGAACTCTGTGACTGGGGGAAAAAAGGAAACTTATGTTTGCTAAAGTCTGGAAAGGACATCATGCTGAAGTTCTGAGGTAGGGAAGCATGAGTGATTTTTTTTTGTGAAATTACCCAACACTTCCATGGTATACAAAATTTTAAATAGCTAACAATTTTTGTAAAAAATACATTCCTTTAAACGAGTGAGAGACTTTATAATCAATCCATTAAGGGTGGAATGATACATATGTAGTGTCGTGCATCCTTTCTTCTCGTTCTCTTGCTCGACGCTCGAGACTTTTGTGTGCGTGCGGGTGGTGTGCATCGCAGGAGGCACTGTCCTCCCCTTTTATTGGCCCCCTCTCTCTCACGACCACGCTGCCGCACGACCCGTCCCAGACACAACCTTCTCTGCGTTGCACCGACGGCGTCGACTGGGACAGCCAACTACTGTCCGGCCGCTTAATGATCGGGCGAAGGCGGCAGCGATGAGGGTGGCGACGATGACAGTGACGACGAGACGAGAACAATCTCAGAACCGGCAGCCCGGAGCTCTCGCTCTCCGCTGCTTATGTTCCCCTTGGCGCGGCTTGGCTAGCGCGGAGCCAAGCCGCGCCTCCCTTCTCGAACCCACCAGAGGGTTCCAGGGGCTTCCCCAAGTGATCTACCATAACCCCAGCTCCAGTTCCTCCACCCTGCCAGCATACCCGCGTATATGCTCAGCAGCGTGTGCGCTAAGTGCCCACCTGCAGTTGCAGCTGCTGTACAACAGTCAGCGCTATGTCACTACACATGGGTTGAATAATTCTGGCGATAGCTTAATCACATTGACTTGAAGATCCTGAAGAGAGAAACAGTTGATACTAATAATAATAAGACTTGTTAGAAAATTGCAGTGCAGAGATTATCAATATAGCAAGACACAATGTATCCAAATATAAACATATTTTGAATACCAGAGGCTGTAGGAATGCAATGCAAATATTTTTTCTGTTACAGCAGTTCAGGCTGCTGTGGTACCTGGCTTGTTTTCAGGTTATAATCCAGCGAGAATTGCAGACGTCCAAGAGTGTTTTCTTTATAGATGTCTTCAATGAAGCCAGGATCAATGTCTTCCAAGTCTGGCTGCACCTGTGAACACCAATAATAAAACATCACATGACAATATTGTGGCATTATGGGTAATAACATAAAAACAAACCTCCGTCTGGCTGTCCACATACAAATACATAGTTTTAGTTCAACATGCTTGGTCTAGGAAGTCCATAAGACGATGACCTTAATACATGTCATTTGTATCTTGAGAAACAAATCGAGAACGGTTTATTATCCATAATGGTATGCAATAACGCATGAGGTTTTTTTTCATTATTGCATGTTGTGGTGAAATCTGTCTAGTATACGGAGTGCTCTTGCCAATAATATTAAAAAAGTTGACTGCAAAAAAGACGAATGGAATATACAGTATGTTTCTCCTATAAAGTTTGCAGAAAATTTACTTTAAAGATGAGTTAAATATTAATTTAATTAATAACATGTATAAAAATGTACTCTACCTTATTTTTGAACATCCTGGGTTTTTTGGGCTCTTTTAATTTTAAAGTGTTCTTTTTTTCCTTTTCTTTTTTCTTAGAGCAGCAGATTTGCCAAATGCAACAGCAGCAGACGAGTGAAAACAAAGCAGCTACAGCAGCGCTCGAGATAAACATCCAGTACGGGACTATAGAGTGAAACAGCACAATGAATGTCAAGCTAATACATTAAAAGCACTGATACAATGACCCTACCCATAATAGCAAAATTAAACAGAACAGCGCATGTCATGAAAACAATACACACTGATAAAATAATTGGCATGACTGTACATATGCCATATAATCTCTATTTAATGTGTGTCCAGCTTTGTAATTGATCACAGCGTGTTTTTTCTGTCCCCATATCACAACTTGTCAGCAGGGTTTTTATTAAGATCCAGCGTTAAGTAGTATACTGTAATATCCAGCCAAAGGTTGCTGGGGATAGGGTACAGTACTTGACTCGCCATTGTAAGGCATGACGTTAAAATCCCGTTTTGGGGAGAAATTATGTAATCATCTCTGTGTGGTCGATATTATGACTTACATTTTGTGGGTAGCTACTTTTGACTAGCCTCTGCTACGAGGTGAAATATGCCACAATCTGTGTTGCTACTGAAGGGCACTCAAACGGGATGTTCATAGAGGTGTAGGGCACTAATCATAGTCTGATTAGTTGTCCCTGTCAGAGTGCAGTGTTTATATAGCAGTGTCATGATGTTCTGTCCGAGACTTGGTGCCCCAATGTCACGATTTGTTTCCATTCGTGAAATAACACATATAACACATGCTATGCACACTTCACTGCGCAGACTGGCACTCAACTTTCTCAAGGAATCAAACCGAATGCACTTTTTTATAGATGTCATGACCATGTGTCTATCAATTACATTTTGTTGTTATTTTTACTCTACTTTTTACTGTAACCTTTTGTTTATTATCCTGCACGGCACCTCGAATTAGCATAATTGGCTATGTACGGTGCAAAAGAGGTTCAACGAACATACCTACATACATGCAATACTCACATGGAATTTTGAAAAGTGACCCATTTTTTATGGGTGGTAACATTGTGTTTTGTACACGACTGAATGTGCTCGGCTGTGGAGCTTCAGTTGATATGGCATTTTCTTGACTTGAAGTGTTGGTTGTGGAGATAAAAATATCACCGTCCAGTAACATTTTAAAGAAATTATTTATATTCTGTAGATGATATGAGAGCAACAACATAGTCAAAATGTTAATAGGGAGTGAAGAGGAGCCTGGGATGGATTAAATCTCAAATTTATCCTATTATCCATGTCTAGAAATTAAAGTTCAGCAGTAGGTTCACAGTGCATTCCACATTCCCAATAGTTACAGCATGAACCAATTTCCCATCCAAGGCTAACATTTGAGGTGAGTGAAATGTCAACCAGTCTTGGTCCCTTCCCATTCACCAACCCACACTCACTAGCCTGGTGAAGTGCGATCAAATAACTCCATCCAGCAGGTGATTGATAAAGTGCTGTCATTTTTTATTAATATTTTTTTACAAAATGTTTCATTTTGCTGATGCAAGAGCTGGAGCCACATGGTGGGTAACCTTGCCGACGATGTTCACTGAACTTTGCAATAGCCTCTTTTGAGCAGCTCTTCCTTTGGGAGATGACTTCCCAGGACGTTTTCCAATCTAAAATCTGATTAAAGTGGTCACAGTGTTATAACCTGTGCCAAGGGATCGTTTTACTTAATATGTTACAAACCAGGGACTTTTAGTTTATTTAGTTTTTTTTTCCTTTGTACCAATGCCTGAGACATATCTTGGGGTGTCATCATAACATGTTACTTGAATATATTATGCGATATCAATCTGATATGACTCATACCAGCATGGCATATCATGGTAGTGTTATGTTTATTTCTCATGCATAATGTAAATATATTAACCACTTCTTTATTTTACTTTGTTTTTTAAAAATGTAACTCTACTTTTAAAATACAGCATACTAATCAAGATATATTCTTTTTTGGACTGTCGCCTGTTCTGATTATACATGCCATATTTTTTATTTTCTTAAGATATAGTTTTTCGAATGAAAATAATAATGATTTTAATCTGACATTTAACTGACTTCGCTTGTGCGTGGCTTAACTACTATTCAGTATGGTGCATCATGGCAATCTTTCTCTTTTTAGTTCTTGTGGTAGGCCTATAATTGTGTAATTCGTGTTTGGTCTTGATAATCATGAAACCATTATACACTACAATACACATGTGGAGTATTTTTTCTTTACTGTACTGTTAGCCAATGCATAACTCATTTCAATATTTGTCAATTTAATCTGACATTAACCAGGCAACCCTGTGCTTTGTGACACCGGCTCTCTTCCTACATTTGAGTCAGTCTGACATGATCTGTGCATTATGATGTGCTTTGATTGCCTCTTTTTCGCTCAAGCTTTGTGTCTGGCACGTTTGGTCAATATGAGGATATGTAGATTGTACAGTACAATGTTCCATTGCATTATTTATGACTTGCAGCGATTATTTATTGAAAGTAATTGCTGTAAAACCTTAAATTTTAGATAGTTCCAGACGTGATATACCGAATATCTCAGAAGTATGCAATATAATGCAGTACAGCATTGTGCATTTCGATATTCGTGTTTAATGTCAATTATATCTCTATAATTAATCAGACTTGCACATTTTTGATAAAATGAATTTGCAGTAAAACTGAGTTGCTAAGAGATGTGTTGATTTTAACAGTTGATTTAAAATGTTATTTTTTTATTTACTCAACTAAGAACCCATTGAGATATGTCTTTATCCCACTTACTAGAGCTCATTGTTAGGAAGACATGTGTATGCAACAGCATTTCACGCACCAAATAATGCATTAGTAATGTATAGTCATCGTCAATATCCCATGAACATACAGTTGAATCGATAAACACCATAACATTTCATTTATATGTTGTCTATGCACATACAACTAGGATCACTATGGTCAAAAACAAGATACTGTACTATATTGTGAATGCTTTGCATTAAAAAGTGAACATAAGGCTTACCTTTTTATATGTTGTGAATTTGAATAAGTATAACAGATGTATATTTCAACAGGCGATTAGTGAACTCATCTGCTTTTTGTGGAGCAAATTCATAAGAAAGTGAATTGTTACAATCGCTGCTTGAGAGGTGCTGGGCTTGTATTGGTAGCTGCAGCACTGCTGTGAGTCATTCCTGTGATGCGCCCAAAAGCACTCCACGATGCCTCGCGTTAATGCTGCAAATATGGGGGTCTCCACCGCACTCTTCCCTCCGAGGCAATCTATTATTTAATACATGGCTGCTCTCAAGATTCACGCAGAAATTGCGTAATACTTTTGCTGTGAAATGTAATGCCTTCAATTCAGCAAAGAGTCATTAAAGCTAAATCTGTATGGCTTAACTTTAAACACATGATCAAAGGTTCGTGAGGATACTGAAGCAAATACAAAAAACACAGGCATTGATTGCGATGATTGTATTAACTTCCATCACTATTTAAATTTGTTACCATGGGCTGCCATAGCCATTAGCCAATTATGAAGCAGAAGTGCTACATCAATAGAACCTGTTAGCCACGAGAAACTCGAGTTGTAACAATAATTGGATGGCCTACAGTAGCTGGATTGACTTTACACTATTCATGTATTTCATAAAAAAAAGCCTCACTGAGTCTCAAAACTATCGCTGAGGAGGTTCCGACATTGGGATGTTTGGCCAGTTTTGTGTTGGGGAGTGTTTTGTGTGGAGGCGGAAACCAAAGTCCTTGAAGAAAATACAATGTGCACAACAAAATGATCCTCGATTGTCTACATAGATGAGTTCATGGACCAACTTGCTATATGACCATTCTATGGTCACCTTTCAGCCTGCAAATTTGAGATTTTCACAAATCTGTGATCAACACCCAACACCCCAATAGCTCCTAGCACACAGGCATGTGCAATCAATGCCAGTGTGACTTATTTGGGGTGTAATGATGCTTCAATTAATTATTATGAATATGCTCACATTACATGCAATTTTACATAGTCAAATTCAGTCTTGAGCTCTATTGGCCTGAATTTGATCAATACATTGGCAGGTATAAATAAAATCGTAGTAAATTTAGAAATCTTGTTGGTTTATGGAAGATTAATGACAAGAATGTTGGCATACAACTATCATGTTGCCTAACCCAAAACAACTGTGGATAATCATTTACTGTACTGTATTGGATTATATTCGATTTGTAAAATGTATTGTGGAATTTGTCAGACGTGACTCCTGTAAATACATGCGGCTGTTACTTTTTACCACAATATAACAAAAAAATATTCTGAATTAAAATGTTGACCTTGAAGAGTGACAAATAATGCTCTCTGAGCTATCAGGGGAGATGTTTACTATCTCGCTATACCAGTATCACCTTCTGAGGTGCATACAGCGTGACAAAAAGCATTCTGCTGACATACATTTTATAGTCTTTTTGTTAAGCCACCAACACAAACCATATTCCACCATTGGAATCTCAATTATCACAAATCATATTCTTAGAATTTTAAGACACTCCGGAAAGTAAGACGCGCCTGAAACGTATGCCCGATGTCGATACAGTTATATAAATATAGACACGTGCAGACCTACCAGATTACAAGCTACACCTAAATATTTTTTTTATTCTGAGAATGTGGTAACCGTGTATTATATATGCATTCATACGCTTTGGTTCTTTCGGTAAAGTCACGTAGGTATAAAAATACGTGACTTTACCGAAAGAACCAAAGACTATGGATTCCTGCAATCACGAAAGCTTCAAAGCAAGATAATATATGCATTGTTGTATACATGCCTTTTCCGAAAAAAAATTGATTAAGAGTAATATTGCCTGTTTTAATGTAATTTTTTTGTCTTTTCTTAACGCATTCCGAGAGTTAAGGAACAATGGAAGGACAAACAGTGACGCTTAAAAGTCTACATAATGTGGGCTGATGAGAGTCCTGGGACAGCCCCGGAATACACTTCTCAGGGAAAACAGCAGTAAAGGAGACAAGACATGGCAGACATTAGATGGAAATGACACAGGGCAGGGGACAACCAGTCAAAAGGGTAAGGGTAGGACAAAGTGCGGGGAGGAACAATTACAGAACCACAGGGAGCAAGGGGCCTCCACAGAACAACGGGATCTGGATAAGGGCAGATAATCATTACAAACGCAGGCTTGGAGCGAAATCAAAGGAACATCCGAGCCTTTGTGAGAAGGAAGCAAGAGGTGGGAAAATTATCAGATATCAGGAGGAAGCCAAACCACACAAACTAGATCTGCTCCAGGCAGACTTCTGTACTTGCCCTTGTGACTGGCAATAGTGAGGAGCTCTGCATTGACACACTCTACGCATCACGGGAAGGTTTAGTTTTTTTCTATTTTATACGTGTCATTGGGGGAGTCACTGCAAAGCAAATGCTTGCACTCGCGGCGTTGCAATACAAAACGTAGGGGAGAGTACTGTGAACGAGACTGCCCCCAGTGGTGAGGTCGCTTTATACAGCCTTCACAGACGATCATTGTGAAAAGATAGTTCCTATTGTTCTCTGATAAAAGTCAATCTCTCTGAGAGGAAACCTGAGGCATCCACCATTCGTGAGTGAGCCGAGTACCTCACCAAGCCACATGCGAAGGACAGTTGAGGGTCAGACCATAGACTGACGCGGAACGAGATAACTGGATCTGGAGCGTGTTTACTGAGCAGAGTACGAGACGTGTGTGGTACCACGACCGCGGAGCAACTCCGCAAGTGCCGCGACTCCCTCCCGGCCCCTGCACTAAACACACACCCACACGCAGCGCACACACGTAGTGTCCTGGCGGGGGATTGCCTGGCACATTGGGTTTTAATCCGAAGGGCCCCTAGAAGGGAAGTCCCACAGTTTCCCGGTGCCAGGAGATTGGCTGACCCCCGCAGGACAGGTTACATTGCGGTGCCCCTAAACTTGGCTTAAAATTGTATGGGCGCAGAAAGAAAAGGTTCACTGGGCCAACCGCAATGAGTTACAACATTGGGGGGAGGATGGAGGGTGGATTAAGCAAGAAAAGCGTAAGCCGGTCACCCTTCCAGACAATGGGCAATGAGGGACAATGGGTGGCTGGCGCTGCCGCCGCAGCACTCGAAGAAGAATGCGGTAACAAAGGGGTGGTAACCACAGGTAGGCGCATGATTGGTCGCGTGGGACAAACGCCATACCGGCCCCTTGAAGTAAGGGGATTAGGCCGCGGTAGAGAAGAAAAAAGGCGCAACCGCACAGGTAAGTGCACGATTGGCTGCGCGGTGCTACATCACCCTGGGCCTTTGAAGTTTAAGGAATAAAAATAGTGGCCCAGGACTATTTTCGCTCTCTTGTCTTCAACCTCCGGGCCGTCAAGACCCACTCCCTACCGTCCTGCCTTCTCAAGCCGCTCGCAACATCTGTGTGATGCTAGCGAGTGCTGCTACAGCAGTGATAGGTTAAGTTTTCTCTCGTCGTTCTCCCTCCGACTTTCACAGCGTCCGTGCGACGCTGTGAGTACAGCTTCGAGGTATGTGGTAGCACGTTTGAGTGAATGGGTATGTAGGCAGAGTTAGGCTAGGCTCTTGACGCACAGTGAATAAACGTCAGCACAGATTATCGGTGCAGTGTGATTTGTGAGTGTGTGTGGAGCAGTTGCGTGGGCAGACGAGTGGCGAGGGCAGAGCTGTAGCATGCCCACTCGTTAAATTAATCACCTACAGGTGTGCGAGTGTTTGAACTGCTGCTGTAGTGCTAACCGTGGGGCATGCGCATGTGAGAAAACAAACGTCAGCAGGTGCGCGTGTGTTCACGCCGCTGCTGTAGCATTAGTCATTGTGTAATGTGAGGACATATCCGGGTTGCTGTTGGATTACACCTCGTACGATGATTGGTTATGCCGGTCCTGGCCCATAGCCAATGGTGAGAAGTCTAGGGGCGTGGCCCTGACTTAATGGGAAGGTGACATCTGTAAGTAGAGGATTGGTTCTGCTGGCTTTAGCCACAGCCAATGGGGGGACGAGTCAGGGGCGTGGTCCTGGGAGCGTACCATGGAGTCTAGAAGATTCTATAGAGGCTAACCAGGATTGGTGGAAAGGTACCACGTGACTCAGGTATTAAAAGGGGTGAAGACGTACAACACGTGGTCAGATCTGGAACGAATGGAGGGTGAGGCCACGCTGTTGCGGGGTCCAGGCTGCCACGTGGCCGCGCGTGTCTCTCTCTCTCTCTCTCTCCCTCTCATGCTGTCTGTCAGCAGCGTGAAGGAGTAAGATAGGAGTGTTGTGAACGAAAGACAAATAAAGACTGGATTCCAGAAGTCGCTTCCACGACCTTTATTACATTTGTGTGGATGCGGTGTGGGATACAACCACCCGCCGGCACGCATATATTCGTGCAGCCGTTTAATGCTAGCTTTTGTGTGGAAGCGGATTAGCAAATAACCACCTGCTGGCACGCATATTCACGCAGCCGTTTAACACTAGTCTTTGTGTGAAAGCAAATTAGTATATAACTGCCTGCAGACATTCGCTTTCGCGCAGCCATTTAGCATCAGGCTTAGTGCGGTACTCTACATTCGTGAGTAGCGGGGGCACGTGTACGGAGAGTAGAATGCTGCAGGCGTGGGTGCGGTCGTATCGTGGCGTGCTACATCAGCGTCAGTGACGGTGTGCGCGGGAGAGCGAACGTAGAGCCGCAGCATGAGCGCTCGTTAAAATAACCGCCCTTAGAAGCGCGCGTGTTTGCGCCGCCACTATAGCGCTAATCGTGGTACGTGTGCATATTAAAATATAAGTGCCAGCAGGGGCGCGTGCATTTGTGCAGCCGCCTTTGCATTAGTGGTGGTGTACGTGGGCGTGTGTGGAGTAACTCCGTGCGGCGGTGAGCCAGCACTGTAGCCATGTCCCTCAGAGAGAGCGCTAGCGCGGGGGCCCGGCGGGAGCTGATTGACGTGGTGGAGGAGGGAGTGGAGGGGGCGGCCATCGTGCCCCACCTGCCCAGCGATGACGGTGGGGTCGACGTCGGCCCTCACACGTGCAGGTCAACTGCAGGAGAACTCTCAGGAAGTGGGGGGAAGACACGATGACTGCTGTCGCTCCCAACCGCTCCTCAGTCTGCAAGGGTCAACCGTGCCTGGTGCCAAAGGGGGTGACACGCTGCCGCCCGGT